TTCCAGTTCTTGACCTCAGTGCCGAGACTGCCAATGCAGGGTAATGGCAATTATCATGGTGGTTTTGTGGTGTGTTCATTTCCTTCCAGCTGTCACAACTAGAAAGGAACTACTGGCAGAGAGGGTTTCTGCCAGCTCCAAGCTGTACATCTGTTCCCATTTGTCTGTTCACACAACATGGGATGCAATCTCCCTTTCCTCTTGTGCTGGCATCTGTTTGCTCGTTCTGTTTGTCCTGGAAGGGCTTTGATTTCAGAGGCTGAAAAGTGAATCTCTGTGGATGAAAATGTCTTCATGTATTTTAAAAAGAAAAGAAAGAGAGGTGTGCAGCCTTCGCTATCAGCACCAAACAGTTCCCCTGCAGATAATGAAAGCTGAAATAAAACTAGCCATGGTCCATAAAGCTATGAGGAGAAGCAGCTCATGCAGGACTCCTCAGCTTGTACAGGAGGACGAGGGGATTCTGGAGCTGGTGGAAGCTAATTCCCATTCAAATGGGACAAATTACAGCTAATCAAAATGATCTGCTAGGACAGGGATGGATGATTCATGTGAGGGATTTAAAAGCCTACTGGACTACTGTAATGGCATATTTTAAGTACACATAGGACTCCCATCATGTACACAGCCACAGTAATGAGAATTTATTTAGGACAAACCATCAGAGAAGAAAGTAGCAAAATATTTTGCTACTTTTAAAAAAACAATCTCTGAGGTTCTCACTGTAAAAAAAAAAAGATATAAAATGTCTCATAGTTGCAGACTCAAAACACAGTGAGTTTACAACAGACTGTTCAGATTTTAAGAAGACGAAGTCTCAAAATGGCTCTGCGTGACCTTTGAAACAACAGGAACGCTGACAGTTGGGGAACACGATCCCAGGATTACAGGCTACTTAGTAAGCTTTACAGAGCGGAAGATTTTAATCAAGACTTGAAAAAAAGCAGCAATCATTCCACCACTGAAATGGACATGAAATCAGCTTCTGCCTCCCTGCATCACTCTTAGGCAGTTCCAAACGAGCACTTTTTACTCACTCCAATAGTTTTACATGTAATAAAAAAAAAAAAGAGGAGGAATATATGACCTTCGAAATTGATCTCGAGGGGGTCTCTTTTTTCTTTTTTATTTTTTTCTCTTTAAACCAAGCCAGCCTAACTCTACATAGCTTCAATTCAGCAGAAAGAGCAGCGGAAAGACGAAGATGCTCATAACTTTTAGAACAGGTTCACATATCTAATGCTGGAATTAATTGTTCATTTTACTCTATTATGTAACTAGCTAGCCAATCAAACGAAAAAATACCGCCATCCACTTTTAAAATGTGTTTTGTCACATGATATGGCATTAAAATAGACTATAGGTGACAAAAGGAAGACTGGGGAAAATGTGGGCCCGCTGTTGAATGAGACAAACCGTGGCGTTTCATCTGACCAGATTCAAACTTCGAGATTTTAGTCATCCTTACCCAGGGCTTCATTTTTCCCCCTACAGGAATACGTGAGATACTCAAATATAGAATTTTTGTATCACGTTCAGGGCATGCACAATCACATCCACACACTCACATAAAACTGTCATCAGAGTTACAGAGAAGATTAACATTGCTTTTGATCAAATTATATACCTGAGCGACTGGAAGAAGAGTTTCTACAAATACCATGGATATTCAGATGAACACCTTTGCCCCTGTATCTACCACCTGAAGTAAAAAATGGTGTGCCTTTATTAAAAGCAACAAAAAAGGGAAAGATGGTCCATCCTTTGAGCCTACATTTATAACATGATGTTGCTGTCTTTCACTGTCATTCCTGAAAAAGTCCTACAAGATGTATACAGCCACAACAAACTTAGAAGTGCAGTCATGTCAACTGCAACGTGCAATCACCCTGCCATACAGCACTCTTCAATTTCAATATTGGACAGGTCTTCTGCAACAAGAATTGTGAGAGCTACTAGTCCTCCCAGGTAGCAGTATTTTAATTTCAAATAGAAGAGGTCTTACAATGTACTGAGGAGTTATGGCACTGTCTTGCAAGGCAACTAAAAGATACAGAACCAGATAAGCAGATGAATCCCTGTTGACAGAAAAGCAAGTCAGAGAAACAGAGAGATCATGATGTCTTCTATCTCAAATACACACCAAAAAGATATTCAGTATCTTTTGAGAGAGATCAGATGCAAAATGCCTCTAGACTACTGTCACTACCAAATTCCAAGTTCCATAATTTGCCTTGTAAGGATCTGAAGTTACCATTAACGCAAGTTAAGTTACTTCTCAAGCGCAGGCTTATCACTGCAGACAGCCACCAGGACAACAGACTCCTGTATCACAGAAATAAGAAAGCATGAAGTGTATGAAGTTCAAACCTATTGCTATTAACTGCCTTGATTTAAAACACTTCAGGTCTTCATCTGAACATAGGACAAACAGTTTTTAGCAGCCTCTTCCCCACAGTGGTTATATGATAATTCTGTAAGTGGCAAAATGCTATATACAAAACTAAATAGTTGAATATATTCCTAAGTTGGTATTTTGAAAGCATAGACCAACCCAAGTTCAAACATTAATTGCTTCAGATAAACAATGTTGGAATGATTTTACCTTTTTGATTAAAACTTCCTTACATCAGATGTTTACATGAACTGTCAAAAACTGCCAAATGCCAGATAAGATAGCTACCCTTGCCTACACAAACAGTGCTCACACATACACACAACGTCAAACAAAATGGACAATTAAAACAATGAACAAACTATTTTATTTTTGTTGATAGATAAGAACATCCCATTGAAAATAAAGAATAAAAAATATATTCTGCTACAACACTTGGAACGCTTGAATCTCACGCTATAGCACATGGTGAAATTCTGGTACTGCAACATCACAGTAATCCCTGTGCACACAGGTGCACAGAAAGCCTTGAACAAATATTTATACCCATAATAGTGCCATGTACAAAAATGTCATTCCATAAAGGCCAAACAGAAAATTTAAACATCTTTGTTTTTCCTACACCAATGCCAATGTAATAAATGAAAACTGTTTTCAGTCAATTACTTCCACTTAAATCGTATGAGATCTTTTTACGCTAAAGAACTCTGAATTCAGCATAATAAAGTGTGGAAGAAGTAAGGTATAAACAATATACTAAGCATGTGTCGCATGATGTTTTCCTCAATATATAATTAACTTTCGTATGGTTACACCAACAATCAAGTCAGTATCTTCCTAACACAAAGAGAAAATATTCTGTTTCTTCAATCAATGCTCTGACCTCTTCCTACTATAGAGAGCATGCTTGTATTATTCATCTAAGCATATATGCACCCAAAAGATATGCAAAACAAATCAATATAGATAACCTTTAGTATCAAATGCCTAATGATGTAATAATAGAAACAATTCTCAAAGTCCAAATGACTTGCTAAATCAAAATTGCATTGCAGTCACTTAAACTAACAAAATACTTGGACACTTGTGCGCCACAAAATTTATTTTGCAGCAGTATCTCTGCTGAAACCTGAGGAGTATCAGACTATCAGTAAAGCAAGGCATTTTCAGAAAAGGAATTTGTAAAAAATACATTTATGCCATATGCTTTCATATAAAAAGGCAGTAAGAAATATAATAAAACCTACCATTTTAGGACTACACCTTCCCTAGCAAATAGTTTTTATCACTTGCACTATTACATACAGTACATTCAGTTTCCTACACAGAAAGTATATTTTCTTGTCCCTGATGTATATTACAATTGGCAGTGACAACAAACTGCTGTATTATCACCACTCATTCTTGCAGCTTATACAAACAGCACCAATTTTACCCAAAAAAGGCTTATCAGTTACATAGTAGCACTTCCTTATAGGAAATAAAAGCCCAAAACATCAGAACCAAGCATGTCTTTCCAGAACTATACCAGAATATATGGCTCAGAGTTAAGTGGTGAATAACCAAGAGTATTGCATAGTACAGGGATCTCGCCTGTATGAATAAAGCCACTCTTTGATTGTTTGTCACCTTCTGTCTCCAAGAATGGACAACAAATTAAACAGGTGCTAATGAATATGAAAGTAGAACACAACTAAATTTACTGGTAAAAAAACAACAAGAAATTGTACAGTTCTCTCTGGCACAGTGCAAAGTGTACATTAAAAAACTGAATACATATGTACAGTGTGTATGTATATTTTTATATATATATAGTATGTATTTTCCTGACACATACACGTGTGTATATAAAAAGCATGAACACACACATCCATGCCAAACTTAGCAAAAAGATGGAATGTTTACGATGTGAATGCATTGTTCCAGTTAAATCAGTCTGTCCCAGAAATGGCTGTTTATACAGCCAATATGCCCTTCCATGAAACAGAAATATTTATTGCCTGCATAAATTGACAATATACTGTACATTTGTCCTCATAACTTACCAAAGGACTGATAATCACACTTTATAAAAGCTCATATTTGTATTAAGCCCTCTCCTCCATAGCCCTTCCCTCCCCACACCTCCATCCGCCATGACCAATTCATATGGCTATTCCCTTTATGGAAATCTAGGAAGAATAATCTAGAATAATATACTAGAGTATTACTCTGCTTGAGGACCAGACACAGTATTCACTACAGAGATGAGATCTTCTATTTTAAATATTTCTTGCAATATAAAAGTTTACAGCCACCCCTGTAAAAATTATTAACACCTGATGCTGTTTTTTTTTATTATTTTCCTTTGGGATTCAGCTGTTTTGGTTCTGAATATGAACACGTTGGCTGAAGTCTGTAACAGAAAATGCACTTTTCAGGATTCGGAGAGCGCTGTTACCCGACCTGCCCACCCTCAGTATGATCAACTGTCCTTCCCTGCAGACGTTCTGAAATAGTTTGCAAAATACTGGAATGTAATACAGATCCCGCCCCCCCCCCCCCCCCC